TGCAGCTGAAAAGCTCACCATTTGCAAGCAACAAACCGGATGCGGTTCCTGGGCCGTCACGGGCTCCAGCTGAGGTCCAATGAGGTGGCCCACTCAGCCCAGCATCTCCCGCAGTCCGGCTTGTCTCACCGCAGGAGTTTCGGGGATATCCGAAAGCGAGTTCTTTTTAATCCAATTTCTTCCTTAAACCGATAAAGCAGCAACGACAAAGTGACATTAAACAGACCCCAGATCACCCATACGATCCTTAAGAAATCCTTGTTCATTATTGAACTGCCTCATATTTTCGTGAATATACATTTCCTTTCATTTTCACCTTTTCTATGTTTGTTAATTATGTTGTAATTCTGTGAAAACATAGTTTTTTTAAGGGATAATTTTGTATCCCAAAGGCTCCTCCAGTGAGCCATGTTGTCCAATGCCTATGCCTATGCTCCATAACCGTATCCTTACACTTCATGGTCCTCCATCTTTTAAGGCAGGACCCAAAGTGGAGCCGAGTCGTCGAGTGCGGAAAAAAGGAAAGACCATGATAGCTACGAATACACCAGAGCTGCAAAGAAAACAAGAGGAACAGGAGAAAAAGACCCGAAAGTCGCAAGCTAGACACGAGCGTGTGTCAAAGCGACTGTTCGATGCCAGGAGCAACATCGCTGACACAAAAGGTGAGAAGAGAAAGCTGGGAGGTGCAAAGGACTTGCCAAAGGCTGACGATAAAGCGTCGTGTCTGTACTTTGGGATGCAGTATAGGCTCAGCCGTGAATCGTGGATCCAATGTACAACATGCAAAAGTGGGCGTGCTTGCCGTGTACCGATGCAACAACCTGGCAGGCACAGTTTATATGTCACGTCTACCGAGACTGTTGATCCGCTCATCCGCTATGATTGGCTGTGCTGATTTAACGTGATTAGTACGGAGTGTAGGAAGTTTTGTGACCGTGTACGTTGTTAAATGGGTGCCTAGGATATGTACTGATATTGTTAGTCATGTGATCCGCTGTGTTGCCATTAACGCATTGGCCTTGCAGATTCAACTTGAGCAGGACGATGTTCAGCAAGTTTTGTGACAGTTGCTTTGCCTGTTTTGTGCTTAGACTGCCGAGACTGTGAGTCCCACGATCCGCTGTGCTACAAGTATCGCATTGCCTGTGCTGACACGTGATTATGCGATGTGCAGGGAGTTTTCGACCGTTGTCGTTGCCTAGTATGTGCCTAGACTGCCAAGGTTGATAGTCATGTGATCCGCTGTGCCGCAAGTAGCGTATTGGCTATGATCATTTAACGTGATTATTACGACCGCAGGTTGTGTGACTAGCCGGATCTTATGTTAGAAATACCCTCCCGTTGTTGGGGTTCTTCTGCCAGAAACAGAATGGTTATTTGGAGGTGGAAAATATATCCTGAATTCACGTTCCAAAATGTTGTGTCTCAGTTTTAACACGAGATAAATGAATCTGATATGCTACCATTTTCAGCGGAAGGAAACGTTGCCACGACCATTGACAAGCTCCTGAACGCAGGTAGATGGCAATGCAGTGCACTCATTTTACCATTTGCAATTTAATTATAGGACATGTAGCTAAGTAGAAATGTTGTCCTAATGCTCGTTAGTATGCCCCAATTCATATTCGCGTCTGTCCCGATTCTTCTGCGTGCGTCCCGATTCTCCTGTAATGGAGGTCTTTGTTTTTGTTCCATGCGTGTCGTATCCTACCACAAAGCGAAACTTACTGATTAGCATGGTGTAGATAAATATCCAATTTATTTATTAGTATGGCGCAATGTTACCTAGCTTTCATACTTTTGCTGCAATGACTCATCAAAGTTGAAGTTGCAAAAGTGTCCCAATTCTCCCGCCTCTCCCCTACTGCCAGATGTTGATGTCTCAGCATTAAAGGGAATGCTCCAAATGTGAAAATATTGAAGCAAGCATGATATATGATGAAAGCACTCATGAATGTTGGTATAGATCTAATTCGAAACGACTCCCCTAGACAGAACAATTATCTTTATTTAGTGAATACGATCCTCAAAACGGCATTATCTGATTGCGTCGTTGTACCTTGCACAACACCGACCAAGAACCAACTGACGGCCGTTATGTCTGGAAACCGTGTTCACGAACGCCTTACATGAATAGCTCGACCTCGACAATCATTTTTCTTCGCCTTGACCGGTGTATCGAAAATGGAATGGCGATGACGTCTTTATGACGTCATACAAGTCCGAGTGAACTTAGTTTCCCAAAATAGTACGCACATCTTCGCTGGCGTTTAGATCAGAAACTAAGGGGTTCCGTGCCTTAACACGCGCCCGGGTGGCCGGTTGGATACCCTTCGCTCGGGCGGGGTCAATTTGCCTCCCCCTCCCTGAAATCTCGAGAACTATAAGAGCTAGAGACACCAAATTCACAGGGTACGTTGATCTGTACGTGAACTCACTTAGGTCAAATTTTGAGGTTCCTATGTCATGACCTTTGGGTCAAATAAGGTCAAACAAGGTCAAATTCCAGGTTGGGCTCTAAGTGCCCAGAATCTAGACAACTCATTCTAAGCAGAAGGCCACATGTTCATTTAAGGTCAGAGACTTTTTTGACCTTTTAAAGGTCTTGGTGACCAAAATCAAACAAGACGGTTCTGAGTTTTGCATTTGAATAAGCACCAAAGTTTACGCTAGGCAGTATGCTCCTAAAACCAAACGTTGACCTGGGTCATTTTAGGTCAATGACCTATTCTGACCTCTAAGAAATCCGTGGAAGATGTAGAATGCGATTCCTGCTATCAATAAATTCGAAATGAGCGGCAGAAACTATCCCATACAGCAACCTCTAGAGTGGTAAAACAGGTTTGTTTTGATCTTGGTATGACCTTTATATCTGACCTTAGGTCAATGGAATTTGCTCATTCAATTGCTGTGTTGTCTAAGAAAGCATTTCAGAGATGTACGGCTTCGTCTAACACTCCGTTGTTGCATCAGATTGAACGAATCCCTAGTAATTGACTTCGCTGAAACCATGACCTGACTTTGACCTACCACAGGTCAGCGAAATTACAAGGTACATCTAATGCTTTCCGCCAAACGATCCACTATTCAATTGCCTACAGCTATGAAAAATATGGCGCGGCTACGCCACGTCGTTCAGAAACCATTCTGGAAAAACCTTTGGGGGTCAATTTGACCCGCCACCCGGGCGCATGTTAAGAGTGGTAGGGCAATGAAATAGACCGAATGATTTTCAAGATGGTTATTTCAGTTCAAACCCCCATACAAATGTGGAACATTGCTTTAAGTGAGGCCATAACCAGGCAATTCAAAGCTGACCAGACTTTAGAAACGTCTGACCTAGCAGATAGCTGATAAATGAGAAAGGCATATTGAATATTCACATCGTAATATGGGCACTAATCACGAACTCTTACTTATGCTTTAGTCCACTGACTCTTCTCGCTACTACGCTATGAAATGCATCACGCATTGTTTGTCTCCTCCCTGCAGTAAATCGGGAGTGTGGCTCCCTGTCCTTGACCCTTGCCGCGGTCGGCCCCTATGTAACAAGCGCCAGCCCCTCTCCGCCCCCCCCCCCCCCCCCCGTTCGCAATGGTCCCGGCCGGGCGATAGCCCCGAAGCTGAGTGAATTCGCCGTCGGCACGACCCGGTGGCGAATCTCACACGGTGGGGAAGAGCCGGTAGTCGAGGGGACACGCGGCGAACGGGCCGACGCCTCAGCCGCTGTCGATTTGAGCCGCTCCTCTGCTGACGCCCATACTTCACTTGTCAACAGACTGAACGGACAGGAAATCCATCGGCTGAGGCGCGCGCGCGCCTCATCCGATGGGAGAGAGAGAAAGAGATAGAGAGGGAGAGAGAGAGAGAGAGAAAGAGAGAGAGAGAGAGAGAGAGAGAGAGAGAGATAGAGAGAGAGAGAGAGAGAGAGAGAGAGAGAGAGAGAGAGAGAGAGAGAGAGAGAGAGAGAGAGAGAGAGAGAGAGAGAGAGAGAGAGAGAGAGAGAGAGAGAGAGAGAGAGAGAGAGAGAGAGAGAGAGAGAGAGAGAGAGAGAGAGAAGAGAGAGAGGCGCGAGCTTCGAGTCCGCTTCAGACGCCCCCCCTTCCTGGCCTCCCTGCCCATCGCCCGGTCTCGTCTGCGAGTGGTTCGTGCCACTCGGGACGCTCGGTCTCGTTTGCGGATGATTCGTGCCGCTTGGAAGCACGCTCGTGAGTGTCACGTCTCATGCTTTTGCTCAAGGAAGCCGTGAGAAGTCTCCAGAAGCCTTCGTCAGACCGCAGTTACTGCTAACGGCCGCAGCTGGTAAAGCCGATAGGCAGCACTGGCAGGGGCCGCGTGTGTAGCCCCGACGCGAACAATGGAACAGCACGTAAGTCACTACTGAAAATTACGTTAAGCTCAAGATCGTCGATATGGAGTTGTTATAATTTCACAGTGGTCAGGCTGAGAGATAAGCGCATTGGTGAACAGAATCAAGGTTACTTTTGAAGCATAGGTTTTTGAAAGCCAAACCATTCGGATGAGAGCGTGCAATCAGATATTCGTGTCAAAGTATTTTACGAATTGTATTTGGACTCTTTTTTATTTCGTTAAGCACGCTATGGGATCCTTCCATTGCTGCTTCAAGCTTCGGACAAAATTGTTTATGCCGGAAAGCACATGTCTGTTGATCTTCTGCGTAACAGAAAGCAGGAAAACTTGTTTTTCATGCCAGAGCGAATTTTTAAGTCCATGTGATAAAACTGGGTGACCTACGTCAGCGGCCAAGGAGGGATGCGTCATCAGCGATGAGCCAGCGATTCCTGCCGCACGTCACGCCTGCCCAACTCCGCTCCCGTGCGCCGCTGCGAAGCCATCGGAGTCCCCCTCCTCCCCCCCCCCCCCTACTGACACGTGTCGGCCGGCTTATTACATGCCTCCGGGCCGCACAGCTGGGACCGGACAACTGCCATTGGCCACTTGGTGGCCCCGGCGGACATTACCGGCTGCTCTCAGTTAGAGCAGGCGACGGCCGTCCAGTCACTCGTCACCCAGCATCGACGCCGAGCACACCTGCCGAGATGAAGCGTCACGCCCTTTCTTCTGCCGTTGTCCTGCTGGCCGTGTGTCAGGTGAGGGCGCACTCGCGGAAGCGCGTGACGTTGTCCAGGATGGCATCGACGGAGTTAAACGCAAGACCTATGCACGCCATTCGAATACCACGCTTTCTGTAGAAGGTTTATAGACAGCGTGAACGCCAGACATGAATACCATGCCGGGATTTCGTCGCTGTGATCCTCTGAACGTCCTCACTTGAGGTCCAGAGGAGCGGCACCTGTCCAGGAGCGCCTCGTCTGCCTCCCTCGCCCAATTCCCCGTACGAGTAGCATCGGCGTGTGTTCACCTCGGTCGGCTGTGACCCACTCGGCCGGGTAGCTGGCATTTTGCCGGGCGATGCTGGCCCTGATGGCCGCCATTGAAGCTGGTCGTTGTTAAATCGGGCGGGCGCCGCTGACGACGCCTCCCCGGCGGTGGGCGGGATCCGTGACCCCGGGTGGCCGGAAGACGTGGGACGCCGCTGACGGCGCCTCCCCGGCGGTGGGCGGGATCCGTGACCTCGGGTGGTCGGAAGACGTGGGACGCCGCTGACGACGCCTCCCCGGCGGTGGGCGGGATCCGTGACCCCGGGTGGTCGGAGGACGTGGGACGCCGCAGGGTCTGGTATCTGCGCTGTGGTCGCTAGTGAGTCATTTCACCCTTGCTTCATCGGTCAGTCCCCAATGCAGGATTCCGAAGGCGTCAGTCCGCCCTGGCTGGGGTCGGAAATATTTGCGCTGTTACACCGCTGGGGTCAGAGGTAGGCCAGACCACCAGTACTGACGTTGGAGAAAGGCTTGTTCACTGCTGGGGTCGAAAACAGGTGGGTCTACTCTCGATGTGGGCGCAACCAGGTAAGTCTATCCCAGCTATGGGTGGAGGCAGGTCAACTTACCCTTTCTGTGAGCAAAGGCACGTGAGCCTCGTGCAGGGGATGTTGCCAGGTCAGCCCTGGGGGCCCGTAACCGAAACCTGGTCTCTTACCAGCGCGACAGTGACTGAGTGTGGCAAGAGGACGCCTGCACTGCGTTGTCAGCTGTCACTAACAACGTATCCCCCCCCCCCCCCCCGTTACAGGTACTCTCGGCGATCGAGATGTGCGGCCCGGAGGTGAACAGTAAGTGATGGAGTGGGTGGAAGGTGTGGCGTGGCTGTGCAGGACGTGCTCTGATGAACAATATGTTCGTTTAGGTGAAGAGCGTCGTGTGTTCTGGCAGGTCAGTACGGTTAGCTTACGCTCAATATATAACGGGTGCTGTGGTTGGCATTACGTATTCGAGTGAACAGTACCTGTCTGCTCCGGTGAAGTAGGTATGGTAGTAGATATGTGTCCCCGAAGCATTGCGTGCCGTGGCCTCACTGTAAATGATACATGCCTTGTTGCTTGCATTGCTCGTTGCACCTGCCTCACTGTAAATGATACGTGCCTTGTTACTTGCGCGCTCTGTGTGGTCTGTTGGACGGAAGCGTGCCTGGAATTTGCATTCTATTCACGGGCTCCGGCCAAAAGAACCCACGCATCACATCATTTGAACAGCGGAATGTTACAAGACTATCAGAATTATTTCTGATCCTCAAAAGCATTGTCGAGGTTCTGTTGCTATTGCGGTACGGTTGGCTTTGCCTTCCTCGACTGCGAAAAAAAGCACGGCGGGAGACCTCGATAGCCAGCATTGCGGAACACACGGCAGAGTTCGAACCGGTGGCAGACAGCACTAGGGATGATGTTCAATATGCAAGTCTGCTTGAGGCCATGTCCGTTTATGAAAATCACGTGTGCGCTTCGAGCCTCATCTCAACGTCATTAAACTACCCACCATACTCTAGGCATGCCCCAAGCCTGGTGCAACATGTGTTCGAATAACTTAACATCAAGCTGCTAGCTCTTTCTGAACAACGTGGTCACCCTGACAGGGGGGTGAGGGGGCGGGGAGAGATGTGACGCCCCTTTCCTCAGAATTTTTGAGGATACCGGTCCGTCATATTGTGCAGTGTCGCCCGAATCTTTGGTAGCCTCCGGGGCATTCATTGCGCATGTGTTAATACCAAAAGCGTGTCTCTTGCAATTCTGGTTTCGGATTAGCAATTTTTTTTTAGGAGCACTGCAAGACGATCCAAGGCCAACAGTGGCGGACGCGCGACAAGCCACGATTCTGCGGATCGCGCGCGGAGGGCCGACACTGTTACATTGACAAAGCCTTGCATTACAAATAAAGACTCGAAACAGGTAAAACTTCAGACCATTATACTCATAATCAAATAAGAAACAAGCCTCATTTATATTCCACGCCTCTACGCTGCATGGTTTTGTACATGTAAACATCCAAAACTGGAGTAGTTTGATTTTCAGGAAAATTTGATCTTGAGACTTGGTCTAGTGGGGTCAATTAAGAGCAGGAGACGGCTTGCCGATCGCAAAATCTCATTGAAGACAGTCCACCGTTTTTTTTTCCGCGGGACTCTACTTTTATTATTCGGCAAACGGCTGGGATTCCCGTCCCTATGACACAGGACATCACAGGATAGTTGGACCACCACAAAACCTCTTATTTATCGTATTTATATTATAGGTCTCGGTAAAGGGGGAGGTGATAATCAAACCTGCACCTCGCCCTAACTCCCGATCGTCTACACTTGCTACACCACCCCAATCCTCACGATTCATTGCCTCCTCATTGCCTACATTATTGACTATCATATGAACTTCCAGTCACCAAGATCTATGTCAGCGAAAGGCTGAACTGTGAATTATTATTCAAATGCCATCAAAAGATTGACGAAGTAATTGTATGTTAAGCTGGGGCATAGATGTCTTAAGGAAGGCTGGGGGAACAGTGACAAATTTTGCAATCTTCCCCAAACTCTACGATGAATATAAAGAAGGTACAATGGTGCCGTCGTGTACGGTAAAGAGGCTTTACGGAAAGGTTTGCCTATGTTATGTGACTAAATGTATTGCCATGGAGGCATATTATCTGTGTATGGAAAGACCATGTTGGTTTTTGCAGAGAATGCTGTAGTATTTCGTCGTGACTGTTACTAAGATTTTCTATCAAAAGCGTTTTTAGCACCAAGGCTCTCTTGAATAAATACATTTTTGTCGCCGACCTTATCCACCAAGCCGAAAGATGTCACCACCCCTGGAACTTCACAATAACGGCCGGGTGTGTATGATTGAACGCTATAGGCCCATTTACATCTCTGGATATTTGTCGCCCAAGTGGTGCGACATTCGGGGCCACAAGTCTATCGCGCCACTCCGTGGCACCAAATCGGTAATTTCCCGTGCGGCGTATTCAAAGCAGCCGAGGTCATCAGCTGACTTTCAATGAATTATTGCGTTTAGTACTTGCTGCTGAAAGTATCTTTTGTAAATCGCATTGGTGGTCGTTAATTCTGACGCCTTTGGCGAATCAGGCAGCTTCAGGAACGGGCGTTTGCTTGCCGGCGTGTGAGGGCGTGCGGGGTCGTCTGTGTTGAATGTATGACACTATGCATTAGCCATGTCTGGGATTCTGGGCGTCCTCCAACAGCCCGTACTATTGAACGCGATTGCCATAGGTTGACAGTGAGCTGCTCATGCCACATCACTGCTGTGCTGAGTTCTCGACAGGCAACGTATCATGACAAATTGGATGGGCGTTTCGTCAAGGGGAATCTTACCAATTGTCCAGGCCGGATATAATACTGTTCCTCTGACGTCTGCAGAAAATTTCATGCAGGCTATTTGCATAACGATATGGGCCACGTGGCGCGCGTCAATCGCGGCGAAAGAAGCTGAACATTTCAACTGCGTCACACATAAGTGCGCAACATCAGCGTTGAGTACGAGAGTTACCAGCGCTCACATCATGTGTCTGTTCTTTGTGATGGCAACAGCTGATTTCGCAAAAGCTTACGCACAGCAGAAAGTCGCGTTTGATAGTCCTCGTATAAAATTACTTGCACTTATTGCTTGCGTTAAAAAGCATGTAACAAAGATTCTTGGGCAATGCGATGTTGAGAGGACGTTTGACAATATATCGCAGCATTTTTCCACCTCGCAAGACGCTCCGCGAATTCACGAAGTTACCGAAAGACTTGCCGCCCACATTGGTCATCACATGCTAACGTACACCTCTTTCTGAGCCTGTTCTCGATGGGGCTCCCCCACACATCGTACATAGTCAGCCGGTGATCCGGACCGCGGGAGGGGGGGGGGGGGGGGGCAGAGCGAGCTGCGCGCTCCGGCGGCGCGCCTCGATCCCGTTCCGTGCTCGGGCGCTGAGCCCGGCGTCGGCGCTAATCCCGCTGAGGTGGCTGTCATCCGATGGGCTCGCGATTGCCGCCGCTGCCGTCACCACCCGGCGGCGTCTGGTGCGGCCCGCAGCCGAGCCTCCCTTCCCCCTTCACACGCAGGCCGCGCCCCTCGACCTCAGGACACGGTCAGGACATGCGGTTTGGTTAGCAAGATGCATGGCCGTCAGATAAACTCACTTGCGGAGGACAACAATCAAACTTCGGATGGATCACGGCAAAAGCAGCCTATCGAGAGCAAAAACATTGTAAATGAACGTTGGGATGATTGATCAATAACAAAAACAAAATGAGCACGAAGCATATTTATATGTATTATATATAATACGTATAAATATCATTGTATATGCATAGATTGCGCCTCACACCATGGATCTAGGAACGATCATTATTCCAAGCTTGAGGTACACATAGTAGTGGCAAAGTTCGAATCGTTCAATCAAGTTCTCTGCTGTGCTTCTGGCAAATACAGCAAACTGTTAACAGCCAATCGCTAACTTCCCAGTCTAAATGATAAACATCGAGACAAGGTCTCAACGTTGCGTGACTGCATCGTCTATGCCTGGCGTCTCATGACTCGCAGCGCGCACAACCAGGGTTCGGTGGCCTCACTCTCGACATGAAACCCCGACATGGGGCGTGGTGGTAACAAGAGAGATTATCTGCTGACCCGTGAACTCAGCGCTCGATGGTGGTCACATCTGTACCAAGGTCGCCCTGTGATGACCCACAGGCCCTTACCCCCAAAGGGTAGTCTCTCGGGCCTAGGTCATATCGTGACCTGGACCCATAGTGTCAAGTGAGACCATAGTAGCTGACATGGTCTCACTTGAGAATGCGAGTCAGGCCTGCAGCCAGGCCACGCTGTGGTGATCTGCTGACATGTGACCTCACCCGATATGCAGATGGAAGCCACACCTGGAGCCAGGGCCCGGCCGCCGAGTGGGCGCAGGAGGGAGAGTTCAACAACCTGAACAAGGGCAAGCCTGAGTGGATCACAAACCAGGTGGAAGTCTAGTGAGTGCATCCGACGACCTCCGTCAAAACCATGTAACGGTCGCAAACGGGAACAGGCTGTCAATCACAACATCAACGACCTTTCTCCGGCCAAAAATATACCAATCGTGCTATCAAACCCGGTCGACGCGTGGTGCTGGTTAGATCTATACACTTGCCTCGTAAGTTAAACACGGCCACACAACTCGACAGAGAAGGTAAACGTTCCATCCTGCTTCCGTTTCAGCTGCTTCGGCTGCATGATCGACATCGACAGGGCTGGCGTGGCCACCATCCAGAACTCCAACTGCCGTTGCATCAGGAAGCGCAAGCTCTTCCAGGCTGTCAACGCCTGGGCCAAATGAGATGAGCGCGTTGGCGTTCGTGTGTGAATAAATGGTCAGTTTATTGTGCTTGTTTGCGGTGAGGGGCAGTCAGAAGATGTGAGAGGAGGGGAACGGCTGCGTGCTCTGCTGTTCCACACGATCAGAAGCAGCGAGCCTCACAGATCTTATCGCGATGCACTTTTGGGAAACCTGAATTATCTGCTTTGTTTTTGTTGTATTGTTTTCTACAGAAGTTAAGCATGTTTACATCAGTGTAGTCCCATGCAGTGTGCAACTGTGAGCTGAAATATGTTGTACACCTTGGAACCGGCAGCTCGTGACATTTATCGAGGGCGAGCATCCTGAGATGTGGCAGTAATAAACTACCTGACATCTTCAAGCATTTTGCATATGAACTGTTAAAAGGGTATGATTCATTACATTATTCGGTGGCCCTGTTCCTTTTGCAGTATGTGCGATTCCAACTGGAATGATGGACGTCATGCGTGCTGACGGAGCGTTTGATGTATGGGTTGACGGAGAAGTTTTAACTTTACCTTCCTTTTCTTACCTTACCTTTTTACTTTGCCTCAACCTGACGCGCTCCTTTTACATGCTGTATGAAGGTGTGGTACCGCTTTGGTGTTACCATCTGTTTTACCCGTGAGTTGGGTGCTTGTTTTCATTTTCATCGTATTGCAACTTTTGCTTTTCTGGTTTTAACTATTGACTCCTGTTTGTGTGGAAAATATGCTTCTTTCATTGCTATTTGTACCGACATGGATGTCATCCTTTTATTAAACTCCCACTTGTGCTGACAATGTCCATTCCTGAGACGCCAGGCGCTTTGTTGCTGTTCCCCATGTCGTACGACTCCTCCAGCTTTATAAAATTACTTGGCAACGCCACCAAAAGGTAAAAAAAGCGTCCACTCGCCCACGAGCGTAGGAGACTCATGTCATTGCCTGCCCATTACGAAAAGAGACTGAAATGTTCCCAATGTTCAAAGTTTTATTTATCATATTTCCTTACACAATGTGGAATGCAATAAACCTGCGCGCGTCAAAACACTGAAAAATAAGAATATGTTCGTGGTCTAGACCTTTTTCAACACCGCCGTGATGGGAGCGTATTTGTTAGAGCACACATGTTAACTCAACTGCAGGCAAGAATGTGCTGCAAAGCTACCAAAGTACAGGAGTTGTTTACCTGCGCTCCCAGAACTTGCTGCTGCACACACAGAGTAGGTACACAAAATCACTACGCATGCAATGTTAGCGACTCCTCTCTAGCCCTCGGGACATGGCCCGGGTCAACTAGCACAGAGGGCAGCGCTAGCCAAGACCCAGCATCGAGCACGGAAGTGACATGGGTGGTACACCTGGGTACTGCAGACACATGAGTAAAACGCAACGGGACCTGGAGGGAGTCAAGGTTTCATAAAATAAACGACGCGAGTTGATTTTGAGCAGTACCTTCAGCTCCCAGGGCATACACCGCATCCAGAAGAGTGGGATAACAACCAAACAAGGACGCATTAGCCAGGGGAAGGCAGGGGGCGGGCATTAGGGCTTTACGACGCACTCAACTGCTGAGGCTATATGACGTCGCCAGCCCCTCACCCCGGCAGGAAAGACGGGCACCGCGGGGAATCGAACCCCGTACGTCTGGTTTCCCAGACGTGCAGCGGTTTACGAGAACACAGTTAACCACTACACTATCGGCACTCTAAGGGGAGGCAGTGGGGGCACCTGCCCCCCCCCCCCCCCCCCAACTTGAAAGCTGTGGGGAAGGCATGCAAAAGTCCATTCTGGCCTGTCGGGAATTCTTTATGATGCTTTCTAACGAAAAGAGGTCTTCTTTGTCCTTAGGTCGGTTTTCTTTATGGTGCTTTCTGTACTCATGCTGACCTATTTATGGTGGTTTCTGACCAAAAGAGAGCAGTTTTTAGCCTGAAGAGGACACATTCCGATCTGGCCAAGGCAAAGACCAAGAAAAATATATTCGTCGCGTCGCTCATATCTGACGTCTGTGAGCACGATTCCTAGACATGACGAACGTCACTTGACTCTCAATCAATATTGTAAAGGCTGTGTGAGTTTCAAGCACGGTTGGTCGTTTGGATTACATCCCCTCCGACCAGAAATGATCACCTCGGGGATATGAGATGAAGGAGAATGGATAACGGTAGGGCAGGATTGCTTACACCTGGGGGCCTACCGCCGAGCCTTAGCCCGTGCAGAGGCCTCTCTGTGGCGTGTGCTCTAGGTACGCGATTTGGGCCCGTCTTCTCGACCCACTCGTGGCTGACGCATGCAGCTTGCACCGGAAAAGCCGGGCGTCGCGAGGATGCAAGATGAAGCCAGGAAGGCGATAAGAGGGTCGGATGTTCAAACACGACTTACTTTAGTTAAGTTGTTTAGTGCATTAGCGAGGAAGATTAGTCACATAGATAAGGCAATAGTATAAGCGTTATTCCTCGGAAAAAAAACAGGAGAATACAGATTTAGTTATGCTGATATTTCTGCAACAGGCCTTTCTCTAAAAAAAATGGCAGAAAAGAGTTAAAAATTGCCTGCCGATGATCCTGCTCAATTTTTCAGGGTTTTTCTTAAAGAGCAAGCCACAGTTTTTACTGGACGGCAACAGATGGGGGATTAAACAAAGAGCGATTGCCAGCCATCACCAAGATACAGTGCCTGTCTGAGAATTAGAATGCCCGGGCATACGTGTACATGAAAACGAATTCAAGCAAACAGGCATCACGCATCACGCTTCATTCGAACAGGCCAGCGTGCTGAAGTGAACAGGCATCACACATTGCGCACCAATTATTCATGCAAACGATTCCAACTGAACAGGAATAGCACATCCCTCGATAGGTATCACTTACACATGTAAGTGATTTTAAGCTAGCACACATCACACGTAAAGGCACGTATCACGTTCGCATAATTGGCCATGACGAGCCCTGTATGCTAAGATTTGGTCGCGGACTTTTTATAAGAATAGATTCACTTATTTTCCTGTCTGGGTGGTCCTGCGCTCTGTAGATGACTTTGAGCTCTGAAAGGGCATAAGGTCCATACTTCCCTCGATTTTAGCCCGAGCGTGCTTTGCCAAAAAAAACAAAATGGCGCCGAAAGGGGTATTCCCTGTTTTGTTTTCAGCTTACTCGCATGTGTTCATTATATCTCAAACTAATAGGGCGCATGGATTCCCCGACATATATCATGTCCCTCCCATATTTTTCACACAGTTTAAACTTGATTTCGTAAATCACGTCTTTTTTTCGTGCAAACCCCTCGAAACCCAGGACTGCATAAGTGACATCTGTTGCCACCCGGGCACTTAGGCTTCGAGATGGAAGATTTCACCAGAGACTGTTTAAGCTTCTTGTCGCTTTGTCAAGCTATGCGTGCGCGCAGTTTTGATTTCTTTTACAATGTGTTTGATTTCCAAAGCAAATACCCATCTATGAAAGATAGCATTAAGAATCCGTCTTCCGATAGGACGTGTTCGCGCCTCCTACCACCCACCTCCCTAAACGCTCTAGACTTTTTTACTTCTTCCAACATTCTACCTAAGAGTTGCGGAGAATATTCGCTACCCAACAGCAAAGTCCGCATTTTGTTTATGCTCTTTGCGATGCGCAGGATCACCCAGGCAGGAAAATAAGTGAATCTATTCTTATAAAAAGTCCGCGACCAAGTCTTAACATACACGGCTCATCATGGCCAGTTACGCGAACATGATACGTGCCTCTATGTGTGATATGTGCTAGCTTAAAATCGTTTACGTGCGTGAGTGAAGCCTGTCGCGGGATGCACGATTCCTGGTCAATTGAAATCGTTTGCATGTATAATTCGTGCCCAATGTGTGATGCCTGTTTAATTCAGCCCGCTTGCCTGCTCGAATGAAGCGTGATGCGTGATGCCTGTTTGCTTGAATTCGTTTGCGTGTGCACTGTACATGCAATTACGTATTAGAATGCCCGGGCATACGTGACGTATGCCCGGACATTCTAATTCTTAGATAGTCACTGTATCTTGGTAATGGCTGGCAATCGGTCTCTGTTCAATCCCCTGAATGTTGATGTCCAGCAAAAACGGTGCCTTGCTCTTTCAAAAAACAAAAAAAAGAAAGATCCAGTGGGGTCATCGGCAGGCAATTTTGAATTCATTTCTACTATTGTTTCGAGAAAGGCATGTTGCCGAAATATCAACTTAACTGTATCTTTGTTCTCTTGGTTTTTCCGAGGAATAGGGCTAATACTACTGTCTTATCTATATGACCACTTAACATTACTTTGTTTGGTTTAAGGCGTTTCGGTCCGTTGAGACCATTTTACGCCTTGAAGAAGAAAAACTAAGAAAATGCGCTATTTACGAGCATTCATGCCATTTTAAGTATCCGTGCACCTTCTAGAAAAGTGAACAAAATACCAAGTAGATGTGGATAGTCATCACCCAATAGGGGTCTCAAGAGAATTCCAGGTTTTGCTGGCGGTAATACGTCCGCAGAATATTTCGTTGCTGTTCATATTCTCTATGTTCAAGAAAAGTGTGTTTGACGATGTCGATGACGTGCTCATCATTTCCGACAGGTCTTGCTATTTGGTCTGGAATAAGAAGAACAAGTATATAGATGACTCTTTTTTCAAAAATCTCTTCGATGGCTACCATTGAAGAGGTTGTTCGTTTCAAAATGGAAAGTAATCTGTTGTAAATAAGTTTTTTTAAGATCCTTGGGCGAAAACGCCTAATTGGTCTGCAATTGAATACGAGCACACGTTTATCGGTGCATAATTGTTTGAATGATTAGGCTGCTTTCATTCATGCATTGCTTTTGACACTATGATCCTTAACTAAAGAGGAAAAATTATAATCGTGAGCAATTGCAACTGCATTTGCAGCAATTCATTTTCAATGAAATGGCAAGTGCATTCAAATAGCTTAAAATTTATATGGTCTTTAAAAAACACGGCCTTTTAAAATCTCCTTCGTTTCAACTATGTTATTACAGACATGTTACGATTGGGCGGAAGGTTGGGTATAAATTGTAAGGGTTCTGAGTCGCTTTGAGGTTTTTCACGCTCTACGCTGATGCCAATGTCGAAATAAAAGTATTGAAGGCTCCGCTTTTTGTACCTTGCCCGACATCTTTTTGTACCGACTGCATCTATCATTGTTTCTGACATCTATTTGTATACTGACCTGTTTTCCAAGAGGTCCCCAAACTACTTGCCAGGTCTCCTTGCATTTTCCCTCATTGATCCTTAGCCGAATTTGGAAATAACCCCTCTGGGTTATTCTGATCACTTTTCTCATCGCCTTTTTGTAGTTCTGATGTTAAAAAGCACTTCCGTTAGTGGGATGTTTCAGTTCCTTAACTTTTTGT